ATTCGTAGAATCCTCCAGCGATTGATTTTCCACATGAATCTTGCAATAGATATGTCACGGGATTAATTTTCTGAACTTTGATGATCTTAAATACCTTCGTGATCCAATTTGGCGTATAACCTTTTTCAAATATTGTATAATCTTGAATTTACTCACATGTACCGAATCGTCTACTTTGAATCGTGCGGGTACAGCAATTTTTATTTGATTATACACTGTGGTCAAGAGTTTGTCTGCGATTGCGGGGGTAACATCGATGAATCGCATACCGATAGTTCGATGCTTTCGCGTATTATACGCCGAGACGAGACGTGATAACAAGTCGAGCCATCTATATAATCATTGCCATTATGAGTAAATATCTTCCACATGTCATTTTTCAACGTGTGATTGAACCGTTTGACGATTGATGCTTTCATTACAGAATATGTCGAATAGTGATTAATATCGTGCCTCTTTATGACTTTTTGTACATTTGCATTATAAAATTCCTTTCCTCTATCTGCAAATTTTTCGGACATCTTCCATCGTCTCGAATTATCTTTCCGATCGCTCTTGCAACTTCGTCTCCATTCTTGGTCTTGAGCGATACGGCCCATGCGTGCTTGCTCAGCACATCGATAATAGTGAGGATATAGTGGTAACCTTTCTTGAATCGCGTATAAGATCACATTTCGACTACATCTGCCTGCCATAGGTCATCGTACCCGCGTACTATGACACGTCTTCGTGGAAAATTTCTTCCGCCGGAGCGTGCAATTCCTCCACTAGCCGCTGCTTTTCAGAATTTTTCTTCTTCTCGAACATCACGCAAATAACACAAAATTTGGTGTATATTCTTATCTACGTACTCTCGGTGCGATGAGTAATCATCATTTGTCGAAGCTCGTTTAAAATAATCTGCACGTCCTTTTGGAACGCAATCAATTTTTTCTCGATTTTGTTCTGTCGATCCTTCAAAATTTGTACACTATGTTCCACGTACCGTTTGTTTACAACGTCGCCATCATCTACCGGTAACGCTACACGTCGAATTTTGCGTGATTTTGCATCAAAGTCGGCTGCGACCACGCAAAGAGCGTTATCGTGCACGTAATTTCTGACTAATCCACTCCATTGGTAGTATGGTTCCGCTCCGCTTCTTCCAAGTGATGTCCCAAACTTGTTGATTGGCATTTCGACACTTGTTAAATGACTCATTTCCTTGACACGCGGTTCAATTTATAATGAGATCAGCTTCAACAAGTTCCTCGATAATTGACTGTATCTCGTTGTCGTGAGCGTTGTGTCCAGCTTGGCGCGAAGCCTCGAGTAATCGGAGACGATCTACAAGTTCATTTGAATCATCCCAATGCACGTAATCGATGGCATTATCGTTTAATGTCATGACACGTGGTATACTTCTTCCGACTTTTTGGGGTAGAAGGGGTGCGATTACATACTTGTATTTGTATCTTTTATTACCCATAACTGGATTAAGCATATTATGATTACGTCTATGTGCGTTTGTCAGAAGCAAAATATCTTTGTATTTCTGTTTATTTTCTTCAGTGTACAATTCATCGTCAGGTACTTTTTTAAAAATTAACTCGTAAAGACCTTCCGTTCCCAAATATCTTATTCCGTTTATAAATATATTGTCATCTTTGCTTCGAAACGCTTATCACCAAGCATCAATCCATCATTGGTGAAATAAACATCATAAACGTTATCTATATCCTTGTTTCCGGTTAAAACAGCTCTCATGTACTTTTGTCCTAGTGGACCGAAATGATTTTGCAATGTTTCTAGACCTTCCGAGGTTTGTAACTGACGTCGAACAGACATCACCAGTGACTCGTTAGTAGTTTCGAAAACATCTTCGACAGGTAAAATATTGTTTGAAGGCTGTTCATATGATGTTGCATGTGTGACATTAATCGGAACAGAGGTCATCACTGATACGTCCGATAAAGCGTTTGATCGTTTTCGTGGAGTAGAAGTTATCAGTGAATCATCTAAATTTTGCGATCGTTTTCGTTTTGTCTCCCTT